TCCCACAAGTTTATGTATGCTAGACATTTAGCAACTCAATCATTTCATAAAATAGTAATCAAAGAGCTGTACAACAATCAAAAATAGTTATAAAATGGTAATGAAATAATAACAGTGTAGTGCACCCAGCCATCAGTGAACTTCAGAAAGTGGGGCTTTCCATTTCTTCCTCCTGCTGTAGTCCACTGAGACCCTTGACATTTGGTTCTGGGAGTCAGGAGACCCTCAGTCTAGGGACCAAAGTGTGTGTGTGTTGGGGTCTACAGTGAAAGAGGGAATTGGTAGAAATTGCTGCCTGCCCTTCTATAAACAAAATGCTGTTCCATTGGAGAAACACCATGGTTGGATATAGACCAGTATCTTCCGGTTACTGAAACTATGAAGATTAATTTGCATGCTGCATATGACTGATAAGTTGGTATCTGGCAATCCATGGACTGGTTCTCATGAGCATGTATGACTACAGCAACAAATGGTGGCTTGAATGTTAGTGAGACTCTAACAGTAAGGTTATTGAGTGGCCAGCAGAAAAGTGTCTTGTCCCTTTAATAACGATTTGATGTATGGAAATTGGCAGATGACAGTTTCCATGGTGATGGAGGTAAATAATATCACCTTGTATTTGTTGCAGATCAAACAGATATTAAATGGACAGCTAGAGGGACCAGATTAAAAGTTGACAACCCTGTTCAACAGTGGAATCCTAAGGCCACTTTCCAGAGAGTAAGCCCCACTGAACATTCCTGAGTATGATTCTGGGTAGACCTGAGTTGATTGCTTGCCCAACATCAGACACAGAATATTCATATGACCATGTAACCACAATTTTGCTGTGCAGTTAGGGTTGCCAGGTCTGGGTTAGCAAATACCTGGATACTTTGGGGGTGGAGCCAGGAGAGGGTGGGGTTTGGGGAGGGGAGAGGCCTCAGCATGGTACAAGGCCATAGAGTCCATCCTTCAAAGCAGCCATTTTCTCCAGGGGAGCTGATCTCTGTCAGCTGGAGATCAGTTGTAAAGGCGGGAGATCCCCAGGCCCCACCTGGAGGGTGGCAACCCTAGAGTTAGTTGACAGGTTCAGCCGCGAGGCATCAAGTGAACTAGTGACAAGAAACCAAACAATGTTTAACATGCATGATTGAACTGACCTTTGCTTCATTATCTTTCTTCCCAAAGTAGCATTTTCATTATTACGGTACAGCAATTCTGCAACAGTAGAGATGAACCACTGCAACAAACCTCAGTAGGAATACTGTATAGGCAGCTCCTCTTCCATGACAACAAGCCTGCTTCCAGGACTTGCCATCTGGTGTTACTTGCCTTTCTTTCACTTATTCTAGTTAGCTACTTTGTGTTCAGCAAGTGACATTAGTCATTCTGCTTCCAGTTTGACTTCAGTGTCTCTGTGGCGCTTCTTTTATTGCTCATCAGAAAATCTGAGTTATAAAGCATATGCATCTGTTAAGTAATTAGGTAGTGTGGATGCATATGCCAAAACATGCCACTTTGAATAATAATTTTTTTAAAAAAACAGAGCTGTTGCCTTGTATGAACTCTTAGTGAATAATTCAGAGTTTCTATTTAGTATGATCAGCAGCAAATATTTATATTTGAGTCCAACCCAATGCCTGAGGAAAGGATGGATTAATTAAAAACAAGATCTGGTGAATTATAAAAGATGCATCTCCTAACAGTCATGCAATGTTAAAGAGAAAAATCAAATGATTTTTGGGGAAAGTAAATACTAAGATTGCCAGGTTGCCCCTGGCCACCAGCAGGTGATGGGGGTAGGGTTGTCACATCTTGGCTGTGAAATGCCTGGAGATTTGGGGATGGAGCCTAGGGAGTATAAGGACCTCAGTGGGGCACACTGCCATAGAGTCCACCCTCCAAAGCATCCATTTTCTCCAGGGGAATTTATCTCTGTAGCCTGGAGATGAGCTGTAATTCTGGGATCAGTCCATTCTGATTGCCAGCCGCTCTCCAGGGTCTCGGTCAGAAGGTCTTTTTCAGTACCTGTTTCCTGTGATTCTCTAATGGAGATGCAAGGAACTGTACCTAGGGCCTTCTGCATGCAAAGCATATGCTGAACTACTGAGGCACAGCCCCTCTAACAAAAGCTAGCATATGTTAGAATGAAATGTTTGGTATTTTCATCATATTTAGAATATATAGCATTTTCTATTACAATAACACACCACAGTCAAAATGATTAAAAAAATAAACAAACATGGAAAATCCACAGCATGTCTCTGCAACAGCGGATGTAAGTTGCCACCATTGGAATATGGATCATAATGTGCAAGCCTGGGCAGCTCACATGAAGTCAGTGGGCTATGGTGGAATGGAGGGGAGGCCGTGGCCTGCGCTGGTCGGGGCTTCTCCACCTTCTGTTTGGGAGTGGCACTGGCTCTCCACCCGATGGGCTTGTGAATCATTTGGGTGGTAATGATTTAGGTCTTACAAAAGGAAAGGCTCTAATATTGCAGGCCCGGGATGATTTGAGAATTATTCAGCGCCAGTGGCCAGATATAATGCTTGTTTGGTCTGCCATGATTCCACGCATGGCGTGATGTGGCACCTTGAATCCCAGAGGGATCGAAAGAGCCCGGTGCAAGAAGAAGAAGAAGAGATTGGATTTATACCCTGCCCTTCACTTGGAGTCTCAGAGCGGCTTACAAACTCCTTTCCCTTCCCCTCCCCACAACAGACACCCTGTGAGGTGGGTGGGGCTGAGAGAACTCTGACACAAACTGCTCTTTTTCAAGGTCAGCTGTGCCAGAGCTTGTGACTGACCCAAGGTCACATCAGCAGGTGCAAGTGGAGGAGTGGGGAATCAAACCTGGGTCTCCCGGATTAGAGTCCGCACACTTAACCACTACACCAAACTGGCTTTCAGCAAATGGGGAGATCAGGAACATTTTGGAAGTTGGTTTGGGTCACTATCTGCTTCGCCCTCAACTTCAGGTGGATTGCCCAGATTTATACAGGGGTGATGACATTCATCTTTTGGAAAAGGGGAATGATATTTTTCTGCAGGATTTACAGCAGGGGCTTCGGGCAGTTTTAAGCTTGACCCTTACGATGGCTGAGTTATGTTTTAATGGGAAGTTTTTGCAGCTTGGTAAGCACCAATCATCAACCCTGTAGGGGTACAGGGGTCGTTCAGGATCATCTTTGTGGCTGCATGGCCAGGGATGAGGATGGCAGACTGCCTTTGGGATTGCCTGAAAGGATCTCCCACATAGGCCTTGTGGCTGTGTGGGATGGGTCTGTGACTGACCCAAGGTCACATCAGCAGGTGCAAGTGGAGGAGTGGGGAATCAAACCTGGGTCTCCCGGATTAGAGTCCGCACACTTAACCACTACACCAAACTGGCTTTCAGCAAATGGGGAGATCAGGAACATTTTGGAAGTTGGTTTGGGTCACTATCTGCTTCGCCCTCAACTTCAGGTGGATTGCCCAGATTTATACAGGGGTGATGACATTCATCTTTTGGAAAAGGGGAATGATATTTTTCTGCAGGATTTACAGCAGGGGCTTCAGGCAGTTTTAAGCTTGACCCTTGCGATGGCTGAGTCATGTTTTAATGGGAGGTTTCTGTAGGGGTACAGGGGTCGTTCAGGATCATCTTTGTGGCTGCATGGCCAGGGATGAGGATGGCAGACTGCCTTTGGGATTGCCTGAAAGGATCTCCCACATAGGCCTTGTGGCTGTGTGGGATGGGTCTTCATGGCATATCCCATTGCTGGGCCAGCCGGGTGCAAGCCACTTACAGTTGGCTCCACCCAGGGGCAGGATGCCTTGCCCATTATGTGGTAAGGATGGGGCTTTGGGACCCGAGGCCTTGACCATGCTGCTGTTTACTGTTTGTCTTTGCTGTTATGATGTATGTTAAATAAAGTGGCCCTTAGTTTCCCAGTCTATGGTTGTCTGACTCTTTCTTCCATCTGTGGGGGCAAAGGCAAGGGGCTAAAGAAGGTGCAAAATCACCCTCCATCTGCAAGTGTGGTTCTATTGACAGATGATGGAGGAGGAATTTTTTTCTGCAGGATTTACAGCAGGGGCTTCAGGCAGTTTTAAGCTTGACCCTTGCGATGGCTGAGTCATGTTTTAATGGGAGGTTTTTTTTGCAGCTTGGTAAGCACCAATCATCAACCCTGTAGGGGTACAGGGGTCGTTCAGGATCATCTTTGTGGCCGCGTGGCCAGGGATGAGGATGGCAGACTGCCTTTGGGATTGCCTGAAAGGATCTCCCACGCAGGCCCTGTGGCTGTGTGGGATGGGTCTTCATGGGCCGGCCGGGTGCAAGCCACTTACAGTTGGCTCCACCCAGGGGCAGGGTGCCTTGCCCATTATGTGGTAAGGATGGGGCTTTGGGACCCGAGGCCTTGACCATGCTGCTGTTTACTGTTTGTCTTTGCTGTTATGATGTATGTTAAATAAAGTGGCCCTTAGTTTCCCAGTCTACGGTTGTCTGACTCTTTCTTCCATCTGTGGGGGCAAAGGCAAGGGGCTAAAGAAGGTGCAAAATCACCCTCCATCTGCAAGTGTGGTTCCATTGACAGATGATGGAGGAGGAATTATTTTACCTCTTTTCCCACATAACCCCCCCTGCTTTTTGTGTGGGTTCTGCAACTCCTGATACATCTGGGAGGGAGGGAAGTGTAATAAAATCCACATCTGTAAGTTCCTTCTGCTGATAGTTGGTTAGATTCAAGACAATATAATTCTTAGCATTTTTATCACACTTGGGGTGTATGAAACACATTACATTTATTACTTCACTCAGTTCTACATCACTCTGGAAGGTAGGTAACATTTAATACCCCCATAATGAAGGTTGGGATATAGAGGCTGTAGATGGCTTAGCACAGCCATCAAGTGAGTTTACTAATCTACTCTAATTGAGCTAATTAAATGTTTTAAGATAATATGAAGCACACATGCAGGTTTGTATGAAATTTACACAGTCCAGTACCTTATTCTTTCTCCCCTCTTTAGATTGTTTTTTTGGAACCAGTTGAAGAACAGGAAAAATTGGCAAAGAAGTGGGGGTTCAAAGCATCTGAAATACGGGAGCTCAGTAACAAGTAGGCATTTATTTTAATTTCCTTTTGTCATCATGTATTTTTACCTGTACGATTTTAATAATAATTTTAACATTTATTAAAATCTTGAATGCTCAAAGTGCTTTATTCATTCTCCATGACCTATTACAAAAATCCTGTTATATTGATACTATTAATTCCTCATATTCACATTCCACTCTTCCTTCAAGGACAGTACATGTTTGGAATTATCCTATTTTTTCATTGTAGCAACCCTGTGATGTAGGTTAGGTTAAAAAAAAAAGTCCGCCAGAGAGCTTCATGGCCCAAGTGGTCAAACCCAATTTTTTCATATCTCAGAACAATTCTAGACACTGCACCACACTGGATCGGTATTACCAGAGAAAGGTAAAGGTAAAGGTTCTCTTGCTCGAAAGTCAGTCGAGTCTGACTCTAGGGTTGCGGTGCTCATCTCCGTTTCAAAGCCGAAGAGCCAGCGCTGTCCGAAGACGTTTCCGTGGTCATGTGGCCGGCATGACTAAACACCAAGGCACACGGAATGCTGTTACCTTCCCACCGAAGTGGTACCTATTTATCTACTTGCAATTTCTTGCTTTCAAACTGCTAGGTTCCATCTGGAACTAGAGATGGGAGCTCACTCCATCATGCAGCAACTCGGGTCTCGAACTGCTGAACTACCGACCTTCCACAGCCTGCAGTTCAGCGTCTTAACCACTTGAGCCACTGCAGCTCCTAGAGTAAGGTTAGAAGGCACCAAATACAGCAGATTTCCCAAAGCAGGTCTGTTCTGGTCAGTGCTTGGGTATGAGACTCTTGGAAACTCTTTGTATGTTGCCCTGAGTTCCATGATGGAAGAACAGTAGAATATAAAGCTAATGAGCTATACATCATCTCTGTATTATGGGTAGAGATTAAGACCACATAGTGAATTTATGGCTAAAATGGGATTTGAACTGGGGGCTCCAGTTTGTGTTTTTACAAAAATTATTTACCAAAACATTGTGGAGATATACAAAATAACATTAAATTCACTTTTACTAAAAATATATAAACAAATAAGAATATCTAAATATATTTGTTTACATCTTTTAGTTGCATATACTTCATATACACTGCAAAATTTCTTTTTCCCCCTGGTATGTACCTATTCCTATTCCAATATATGATATGTAGTTGCCATTTTTAATAACATTCTCCTGAGCAGATTGTTTTCCTTCCCCTTATCTGTCCTTTTTCTGTGATTTTTTTTCATATTCAAAGTAAACCATATGTTAAGCAATCAGATATCTTTAATAGGTAATTTGTCCTGTTTCCAGTGTTGTGCTATTAATATCCTTGCAGCTGTAACTAACCTCTTAACAAGACTTTTAAAATGTATTTCCTTCCTGAAGTATTCCAATAGAACAGTGCCAGGATGACATATGATTATCTCCACTATATTTCTGAAAATTTAGTGCCAGAACATCTGGATGTTAGGACACTGCTACCAGATATGAAGGAAAGCACCAGTTGACATTCTTCAGCATTTCAGTATGCCAATTATCTTGGATCTTGCTATGACAGATATAATGCAGCATCACTTCATGGACCTGATTATAGGGAGAAAAGTCTCCCTTCCAAGCTATCTTGCTATGACAGATATAATGCAGCATCCCTTCCAAGCCATGTGAAGCTCTGCCATTCAAAGGGGCTTTCCCTTCTATCTTTGTATTGAGACCTTTAAAACTTTGTGTATGCGGGTACATTTTGGACTGTAACTTAGAGAACGAAGAGGAGACATTTCTAAGTAATAAGGTCAATTTTATTGAATACAAGACAGGTAGAAAGGTACAAAAAGAGAGATAAATTTAAAATGCACTCAGTCACTGTACTTAAGCATGTGTCCCATGCACAACTGGGCATGGAAGCAAAGTATTCTCAGACAGAGTAAGGATGATGGAGGGAGGAATAAAACAAGGTGGAAGATGGTAAGAGAGGGACCATGGCTAGGTGAGATGACCTGGAGAAGAATGGATTTGATGGGATGTGTGGCAGGCTCCAGAAAAGGGGAGGGGCTGGGGCATTGGAGGACAGGGTTAGAAATGGAGAACTGGGAGCAGGAGGGTGACGTGGGGAGCAGGTTTGGCAGAGACCACTGGGGGAAACAAAAGGGAACTACAGAGGGATGGAGTGAGTGAGCTGGGGAAAGGAGGACAGAAATCAGGGAGGGGAGCTGGAGCTCAGGTGCTGCCTAATCTTGAAATGCAAATAGTATTTAGGAGTCATGGTGGTGGAGGGCAGCTTAGAGATGGAGCATAAAGCCTAAGCTGAACCCAAACTGCCAATCTAAACCTGTTCTCCCCTAATTCTGTACCCTCTCTGAAGTGGTGGGAAAAGGGTTGCCACAATCAGGGCTTGCGCTGAGGGATATGCTAATTTCAGCATGAGCTGTTCTTATTTATTTACGCGCACACACATGTAAGAGACCTGAGAGAAGGGAAGGATCTACAGCAAAGAGTTGGGCCTCACCCCATTAGTTTAATTTTCTGAAATGCAGCTAGGCTTTTCATGCTTAAGGAGACTGTTGATTTGCCAGGTGAATTCCCCCCCCCCATAGGTTAAGTGTAGATTAATGACACAATTCTTACTGCCTTTAGTGATGGTGAGGATATTAATCTACCTATTGTATGCAATGCTAAGACTCCATTGTCATAGATGTGGCCTGAGTCCGGAAGCGGGGGAAGTAGTTGCCGTCTGTTCTTGCAAAGTAGCTTGAGTAGGGAGCAGGTAGCTCTTGAAGAGCTCCATGACATGGCAACCTGGCTTGAGATCTTCATCTAATGATCAACAAACAGAAGTTGACATTTGATTAATTGTTTTGGTTTTAGAAGCTGCTTCAGGGTGGCATAATTGATAGCGCAGAAATTATGCAGTAAAGAAGGTGCTTACGTTTCCCAGCATGCCCTTTCACTACTCAGAGTTGCTCACAGTCCCCCCCCCATCATGCAGTGTCTGTTTAATGCCTTCTGAAGTAGCTTTTAAAATAATAAAAAGGTATATTTGCTGTGGTGAGTGGGGGGGGGTTGATTGATGAACAAAAACTACTGAGGCAGACTCAGCATGGGTTCTGTAAGGGAAGACCTTGTCTCACTAACCTGTTAGTGTTCTTTGAGGGAGTGAACAAACATGTAGACAAGGGGGACCCAATAGATGTTGTTTACCTTGACTTCCAGAAAGCTTTTGATAAAGTTCCTCATCAAAGGCTCCTAAGTAATCTCAATAGTCACGGGATAAGAGAACAAGTCCTTTTGTGAATCAAAAACTGGCTAATTAATAGGAAACAGAGAGTGAGTAAAAATTGGAAATTTTCACAGTGGAGGGTGGTAAGCAGTGGGGTACCACAGGGATCAGTACTGGGTCTGATGTTTTTGAACTTGTTCATTAATGATTTGGAGTCGGGAGTGAGCAGTGAAGTGGCTACATTTGCAGATGACACGAAGTTGTTCAGGGTGGTGAGGACTATGGAGGATTGTGAGGCACTCCAAAGGGATCTGTTGAGAATGGGTGAGTGGGCATCAATGTGGCAAATGGGGTTCAATGTGGCCAAGTGCAAAGTGATACACATTGGAGCCAAAAATCCTAACTATAAATACACATTGATAGGGATCTGAACTGGCAGAGACTGACCAAGAGAAAGATCTGGAATTGTAGATAGCTCTCTGGAAATGTTGAGACAGTGTGCGGCCACAATTTAAAAAGCCAATGCTATGCTGGGGATTATTAAGAAGGGAACTGAAAACAAATCAGCCAGTATCATAATGCCCCTGTATAAATCGATGGTGCGTCCTCATTTGGAGTACTGTGTACCGTTCTGGTCACCACACCTTAAAAAGAATATTATAGCATTGGAAAAAGTGCAGAAAAGGGCAACTAGAATGATAAAAGGGTTGGAACACTTTCCCTATGAAGAAAGGTTAAAACACTTGGGGCTCTTTAGCTTGAAGAAACAATGGCTGAGGGGTGACATGATAGAGGTTTACAAGATGATGCATGGGATCGAGAAGGTAGAGAAAGAAGTAATTTTCTCCCTTTCTCACAATACAAGAACTCATGGGCACTCAATGAAATTGCTGAGCAGTCGGGTTAGAACAGATAAAAGGAAGTACTTCTTCACCCAAAGAGTGATTAACACATGGAATTCACTGCCACAGGAAGTGGCGGTGGCTACAAGCATGGACGGCTTCAAGAGGGAATTAGATAAACATATGGAGCAGAGGTCCATCAGTGGCTATTAGCCACAAGGTATAGATAGGGACTCTGGGGCAAGTGGTGCTCTGTATTCTTGGTGCTGGGGGTGGCAACAGTGGGAGGGCTTCTAATGTCCTGGCTCCACTGGTGGACCTCCTGATGGCACCTGGTATTTTTGGCCATTGTGTGAGAGAGTGTTGGACTGGATGGGCCATTGGCCTGATTCAACATTGGCTTCTCTTATGTTCTTATGTTCTAAAGGGGACAGGCAAAGAGATGGGGGACTTTAACCTGTTTGTTCAGAAGTCTACTTTCTGGCAGATAGGTGGCTATGGCTGAAAGCAGCATCCCTCCGTCTCTTGCATCTTTCTCATCTGGTAAAGTTTATTAAGTAAGATTGTTGTGTTGAGAGTTTCCAGATGCCCTATCCATACAAATAGGAGCTAATCCAATGAAGCAAGGCTCGGGAAACTTGTAACAAGGTTATGTCATGTGAAACAATTTGTATTAAAATGTTACTGGGGGGGGGGGGAAGGAGGAGGAAGAAATTTGGGATTCCAGGTTTCAGTAGCAGCAGTTTTTTAACAAACAGTTCTGGACTTTGCGACACAGCCATGGAGAGGCTGGACTAGGATTGAGGATATGCATTTATTTATTTACATATTTATATCCTACCTTTCTTCATGGCTCAAGACATGGCTCAAGACAAGATCATTACATACAGAATAAAATAAAACCCTAAATACTACCACCCTCCATAGCCAGCAGTAAAAAGCCAGATCAGAGATTTCCTT